AGGCACAGGGTGTGACTCTTGGTGTGTCCTGTGCAGGGCCAGGAGTTAGATTCGATGGCTCCTGTGCATCCCGTAGAACTGTGGTTCTGTGGCCAGGGAGCAGCATGGCTCAGCCCCACGACTCTCGCTCACCCTTGTTTTTTGGTTAAAGTTGGGCAATCGGGGAAGGTAGAAGAGGATGCTGCCACAGATTCCCTCAGCACCACCAGAAAGACCCTTTGGGCCCAGACAGCAATTGCGTTTTGTCTTGTCCTTGTAGTCATAAGTCTATTGTGCATGCTTTTTTATAGATCAACTTTTCCAGTTTTCTTCCTTCTCTCTTATCCCACCTCAGCAGCCACAAACATTATCTAACTCCAAACCAACTCTGTGATGGTGTCCAGCCTACAGAGACACTTGACCCCAGCACTGAAGCAGCTCAGGGCAGAGACTTCACAGCCCCATCCAGAGAACCTGCACCTTTACTAAACCACTGCAGGGTGAGGATTCTTTGCCTTCTGTGTAACTGCATTGTCCCTTGTGGCAATACAGGACTGTTGCCTCTTATCTGTTCACTGTGCCTCTCAGACACAGGTCTGGTCCTGTCTTCCCTGGAACTGCTGAAGTGGTGATGGAGGAGCACTGCCAGACCTCCTTCAGCCCTCTCTGGCCTGACCAGGCTGTTCTCTCTGCTTACTTGAACTCTTAAAATACTTACACTGAGCAGAATGGCTTTGCAAGTGATTTTAACTGTGCTTGTGTTCTTGAGGAAGAGCAGCAGCTGAAACCACCTTAACAAAAAGACATGCTAGAAGGTCTTTTGTGCTGAAAAAAGAAAAAAAAATGTTCAAATTGTAATATGTGGACTGAAAAGCATAGTGCTTTCACATACTAACCATGTCATGTGTAAAGCTAGTCTACTGTTTCCTAGACAATGAGGCTTCAGAGATGACTGTACCATCAACAAAATTAAATCCCAACCTCTATTCCAGGAAGCAAACAAAGTTGTTATTGCAGATAAATTTAATTTGAGAACTTAAAAATGCAAGCAACCAAATAATACCATCATGTTCTATTTGAGCAAAACAAAACAACACTAAACTTCTGACCTTTTTGATAAAAAGGACACATCTTGCATAAGTGTTCCCAAGTCTGGGTGGTTTTTTGCCTGTGTTATTTTTATTCCTAGGTTAAACCTGACAGTTGTGCTCAGTAATCATTATGCAGTTAGCTTGAGCCATTCTGAAGTGCTACCAGCATCAGTAGAACTTGAGTTTTATGTTGGTTTGGGGGTTTTTTTTCCATATATCTCATAAAAACCACTCTGGGTATACACTTGAAGTTATTCTCAGGAAAATTTTGCTCCAGAATCCTCGGGTAGAAGGACAGTTTTTAGTCCATAATTAAGAATATGTTTTAATTTTTTACATCCAACAGCAAAATAAAGCTTAATTTATGTATCATTCCTAGGCTAAAAATATTAATTATAATGAATTTATAGAAAATTTTATGTATCTTAATTTTATTCATAATGCACAGTTTGGAACACTATTCTGAAATCTGATGCATCCAGTGACGGACTGCAGAAATGATGTTAGACAAGTAATGAATTAGGCAATTTATCCTGCAGAAAGGAATTGCACATGGGGAAGCAGCTGTACAAAGCATTCATTCTTTGTCAGTGACTGCCATAGAGCTTAGGAAGCTGTGGTTTAGCATTCTGCTGAATGAGCTCGTAGCAAGACCCACCCCTATTCCTCATTTCCTGGCCTTCCCGTGGACAACCCAAGTCCTAGGAAGCATGCACAATCAAATAACCCTACTGCTCCTGAGAAGCCAGCTCTGCCACCCAGTCTGAGCCTCTGAAGAATCCTTTCTAGTACAAACTTGCATGTGTGCCATTATTGCAAACAGAAAGGAGACAACTAAAAGCAGTAAATTTTTATTAGGTCAATAACTCTGAAGCCCAGAAGCATCACAAGTGATTTTTGGTTTTTGATTTTCAATTTCTGGAAGCCATTCCTCAATCTCTGAGCTTCATGAGCTTTCATTAGATATAGTTTATCTTTTTACTAAAAAAGGGTAAAGTATTAATATAAGCAGCTCTCACTTTGTGGCCTTTTTAATAATTTCTCTAAAGTTTACATACATTTTAATATGCTTATTTACTGGTAGCTACAGATATGAACTTTGGTAAAATTCAGTGATTAACCAATGTCCGTGATTGCTGGAGCAGGTAAATAAGTATTGGAGTTGTCTCCCACTTAACCTTCATAAAAACCTACAGACCAAAAACACAGAAGATTAGACTTATTCCTGCCAGTAAGAAGGGAAAGTGTGTTCAGAGGTGTGAATGTGACATAGTAGTAAACAAACATTTGTTTTATTTTACTACTTTAACAAGTTATCCTAAAGAGTACACAGGTTACTGTATAGGCTGGGTCAGAACACTGGATCTGGCTGCATGATTCCAGTCAGGAGTCAGTCATAAATTCCTCAAAAGCCTTTTGAAGAAGGTAATGTTCCTCATGCCTGGGTACACTTCCAGAAGTGATTAAGCCACTGTCATTGTCATACTCTGCCCTTCAATGGCTCATCTTTGCATCCCAGCTTTGCTGTAGCATTAGAGCTGCCTGCCAGTGTAGCTGCAAGGAGGAAATGCAGTGCAGACATCCAAGCAGTCCACGAGTCACAGCCAGAGTAGAATCTAGGCTTGGAGCTATAAACACCAGCTAGCTGAAGGATTGGTTTCTGGAGTTAGGAAACAGCAAGTTTTGGAATGGTTTTGAACCTCAGTCTGGGTCAAAGATTGGCAAATCAAAAGCTGCTCATTTGTCATGACCAGATTCAATCAGCTCTCCCTTCTTGCTGTCGTTGTAGCAAACTGAAGCTGCTGATGCCATGTGGTTGGAGAAAAAAAGGTTAGGAGGATGCACTTGTGTGCTGATGACAGTAAAAGCAAAATGGCCTTTACAAATCATAAGCTCTGTCATACAGAGGGCCAGGACAAGAAAATAAATTTTCTGAGAAATCTCAGAAATTCTACAGAGTGGAAAACAACTACTGATTCCAGCCTCTGAGAAATAACAACTGGCTACTTGGGGGAATTATATAAAATTTTATTTAAAAAAAAAAGGAGAAGGATGGAAGACATGAAAGTAGACTAAACTGCCATGAGGAACTACAGAGATGGGAACATGCAGAGCACAGGCTGCTGGAAAATGCATCATATGAAATAGGGAATATACTCAGGGGAGCATAAATAGAGAAAGCATCTCAAGTGAATTAAGTAGTTAGCATTAGATTTGGAAAAGTCGCAGTGTAAAGAAGCATCAAGAACCTATGTTTTCTATAATCTGCAATAAAGAAAGGGGAAAAAAAAGATAAACCCACACCAAAACACAAAAAGAAGGATGTTTTAGGATCTGGAAAAAAATAAATTACATTTAACCTTCAATTCTGAGCTGCTTTACACTGTCAAATAACCAGTTGTGAAAGATTTTTGCATTACTGTCTTCAGAACACTTAAGATTTTCATTACAACAGTTCAACCTCCAAAATACTCTATAACAGTAGGTTCTACTCTGTAGAAACTTCTGTAAGAGAGGCAAAAATACTACCATTCTCCAAGTAAATTCTTAAGTTTAAAGGCCACTATCAGTTACTCCATCTCCACCAGCTGCACCTCAGGAGGAAGTATGCTTGTCAAAATCCCTTAAACTTCAGTGGCAAGCTGATCTCATGTTCTTTCCCGTAGTCATCCAAGAGCAGACATGCTTTTACAAAGATCTATTTTCAGTAATCTTTCAGACACACCAGTTCCTTTTGGAGGCTCACCTTCATTTATCACACACAAAACGTAAAAACCCAGGCCACTTGCCTTTTGTCATTTCTCTCCAGGAAGTAAATGTTATCAGCCTATTTGACCTTTTGGTCAAAGATGCTTTTGTTTTCAACTTTGATTCTTTTAAGGACACTTCAGGGTAACATGAAGCAGAAGTTAAAAAGGAAGTAAATTGAGGCATTGACTTTAACACTTGTCATATTCCTGAATTTATGTGAAAATTGACCTGCTGAATCTCAGCCCCCTGACAAGTTCCCTTCCTTTGCTTGCACCTCCAGATCCCTTCACCAAGATCAGCCAGCTGCAGCCTTGCCAGTTCCCTTGGCTCTAGAATACAGGGTTGTCATTTTTGCTCATTTTCTCTAATATTTAAACCCTTGGATGAAAGGCTAAGTTTTTTCACGTAAAAAAAAAAATATAGGCCTCAGAGAAAATGTCACAAGCATGACCAAAAATTTCAGGCTCATGATAAATGCACACTTTTCTTCTCCCTTCTACTAGCTTGAGTTGACATCAGATCTTAGACAGTGCTTGTTTAACAAGACTGCAGGATGCCCAGTTAAGGTCTTGATTTGTTTTAGTGCCATTTTTTTATCGCTAGTGTAAGAGAGACTAAACAAAATGTATTTTTTCCTGAGTGGATAAAAAGTAGGATTCAAGTAGCAGCATTTGACCTGAAATGGGTTTTTGGTTGTTGTTGCTGCTGTTTGTTTTTTTTTTTTAACTAGAAATCATTAAATATTATGCAAGTTGGATTGTTACATAGCTCTTTAAGTTAATATTTCATTCCAAAAATTTTGTAAGCCTAAATGAGACCAAGTAAACATTCTATAACCAGGCATTATTACATTTGTAATTTTGCCCAAGGGACTTTTATACAGTTAGACACAGACAGAAGAAGAAACTCTGGCTCCAGTGAGGCAACTCCGATGCAATGCCTGAAGTCCTGTCCAACATAAATTAAAAAATAAAGTTTGACGCACAGCCTCTGGGGTGTTCTCAGAGCAAACCAAGGCATAGCCGAGGAGGCTGTGCGACAGGGAAGCTAGGCAAAATCAGTGTACAAAAATATCAGTGTACAAAAATATTGGGGAAGGGAGAAGACAGCTCATATCTAATGCTGGGGCTGGCTGTGGTCCCATCACTCCATCTACTAAGTCCTGCACCAAATTGGGTCTTCATGCAGTGAGATTGTCAAGAACGTGTACTGCATCCTCCCTGCTCTCCATTTCAGATGGAGCCCAGCTGGTGGATTGCTGCTGCTCAATTTAATTGGCCAGCACAGTTGGGCTTTCTCTATGGGAAGGTATTTTTGTCCCATTTAATACTTGATTTTTATTTATCATGTGCTTTCCAATAGTTTGCTGAGTCCAAGGCAGTGTCAAAATAGATTTACTGGGTATAGTCGCACAAAAAGCAATATTTCATAAACTTTTCCAGGTGGAGATTATGTTCTAACATTTAGAAGTACTCTGTTATTTAGGATTTGTCAAGGGTTTGTTTGTAACAATTTTTAGATGCATTTACTTCCTTTGTGGCACAAGAGCAGTGTGATAACCAGCATCTGTACTACTGCCACCACAAAGAACCTAAAGAGACTCTAAGTATAAGCTACAGAGCGGGGCAAAGCCATATAATGCTTCAATGAAGGCTATACTGATCTCTTAAAAGAATTTGGGTACATTACTATCTGAATGTACTTATTCTTTCTACAGTATAACAGGAACAAATCAAGGAATTTTGGAGCTGATTAAGAACAGTACAGTCATCTTGTTCATGACCTTCACCATTTGTAAGACAAGCTAAACCCAGAATATATCACATTTGAACAACTTGCCAGCTAGTCAAGACTAGCAGAAGGTAAGGCAGCTGTAGCCATCACTCCCTTTCTTCTACCAGCTGTATGCAAATTTTATAATTTTCCACTTAGGCAGAGCTTGTTAACCTTCTCACAATGCCACTCTTGGATTTTCCATGCAATCTGTTTTACATAAAATGTACGCATCATATTTATAATTTTTTGGGTTACTCTTGGTCCAGCATATGAGGAATATAAGGCCTCTTATTGCAGCTACATGTTCTGTAACTCGTATGCAGACCTGGTAAGGTTACTCATAATGTATTTCACAGTTGGTCAAATCAATATAATCTTAAAAACCAGAGAGGTTGCTCCTGCTATTAGAATGCCTTTTCATACCATAATAAAGTCTTTGTACCAACCCCTGTAATTGTGAGCTGAATAATTCAGGTGTTTTGAGGTGTCTGATTTCTCATTAAAGCTAAACTGAAGACTTTGACAGAGGCCTTTTATTAAAGATAGATAACAGATACAGCACAATGCAACCAGGTGGTCAGTGAGCAACATTTGCTTCCATTTGCTGCTGTATGGAATGTGTTTCTGCCATACTCCCTGTGTCAGTCAATGGGCAGCTTACATAGAGCACAACAAAGCTGGCTTCTCATCTCAGTTACATGGGTGCTTTTTTCACCCCGATGCCACTACGGTCACCAAGGTAAGTTTGAGCTGAGGGTTTGCTTTTGATTATTGTGGCATCTTGTTTTGTGTTGGTTTGTTGATTTTTTTGAAAGAAAGGAGCTCTAGAGTTACTCCAACAAATTAATCTTTAACTTCTTTGTTAGCTTGGTTATGAAATCTTCTTTCCATAACATTGATTTAATTCAATCCCATCTACAGAATCTCATTACTTCAGGCAATGATATCATGCTGATTTTATATAAGCTTGCACTTTGCAAGACTTTTTTGTAAGCCCATTAAGTTTGCATAAGGAAGCATGGAATAAACACAGAGATGAAGCCATCTTTAGGCAGATGGGACTCCTAACATTTTCTAGTTATCACACTGTTTTGTGATTAGCCATTTTAGAAGTATATATATAGAAAAAAACAGGAATTTGACTGCCCTGAATTAATCTCTAATATTTTTCTCGATTTGTACTGGCAAACTAAGCACTTCACTGTACGGTCCTGATCAAGAAGCTCATATGTTGCACAAAGATCAGATGAAGCTCTTATTTTCATTCAAGTTCACTTCAAGTCAACATTTACCAGACTGACCTACTTGGGTTTTGGTAAACTCTTAACACCAAGTCAGTGTTTGTAGATCAAACTGTAAATATAAGAGAACTAAATAAATACTTATCACTGTTATTAAATGTGATTATCACACTTAAATCGCTAGTGAACAGCTTGTTACAAAATTAAAGAGTTATTCACACTACTTTATCCTTCTTATGTTTGTTGAATTCTGTATCCTTACAATCTAAAATTAATATTGATGTTTCAGGAAAGTGGTGATTTTCAAGTTCAAAAAGAAAGTAGAGTCCAATGTAACAACAGCTGCCTTTGTGGGAGAGTCTGTTTGTCCAGTGCTGAATTCCAATGAATTTCAAACAGCACTGGTCAAAGTGCAAAGATCCATCCTGTTTGAGCTGACTGAAGACCTGGGGACAAACTAATCAGGTCTGATCCAAGGACCGCTGTGCATTTCCAGGAAGCAAGTATTGTAAAATAAATACCATCATTGAAATGTGATCAGGACAGAGGTCTATTTAAAAACTCCTCATCTTCCCTCCCCCAGTTTAGTGCAGCATGCAACCTCCTTGTCTTATGATGCCATGTGCAGCTTTGCAACTGTTTTGCTGAGCTTCCTCAAGACTGTTTAACTTGATTACCCAAAGAAGGTCATGAACATATCCATGTTGCAAGCTGCTTATACAGTTTTTGCACAAGCTCAAGCTGACTGAAGAAATAATGCAACACTGGGAAACCCAAAAGAAGAAGTCACACCACAATTTGCATTAAAGCTACCCACATCCTCTGCACCCTTGCTACCTGCTGAAATCTGCTGTTGCTGTCTCTCTGCTGAGTGTAGAATACTGATGTCCACTGTTAACAGCAATTAATAATTTCATTAGGAAAACTTCAATTAAAGACACTGTTGGCACTGGTTATGTAATAATTAATTAAAGTAGACAACACTATGAGTTAGGCATTAAGAGATATCCTGTTTTGGTTCTATTTCCTCCAGGGAGAGATCATAGAATCACACAATGGCTTTGATGGGAAGGGACCTTAAAGATCATTTAGTCCAACCCCTCTGCTCTGTGTAAGGACACCTTTGCCTAGACCACACTGCTCAAAGCCCCATCCAACCTGGCCTTCAACACTTCCAGGGATGGGGCGTCCACAACTTCTCTGGGCAACCTGTGCCAGTGCCTCACCATTCTCACAGCAAAGAATTTCCTCCTGCTATCTGAACGTACTCTCAGTTTGAAGCCATTCCCCCTTGTCCTGTCACTACAGACTCTTTTTAAAAGTCCCTCTCCATCGTTCTCATAGGCTCCCTTCAGCTACTGCAAGGCCACAATTAGGTCTTAACTGAAGCCTTCTTTTTTCCATAGATGCAGGAGAAGGCTGAATTCCAGAAAATCCTTATACATCTTATCTGTAGTTTCATATTATCATCCTAAGCCAGGGACGGGCCCAATGTGCTCGGAAGGAGAAGGGAGGAGGCACCACACCCTATCCTATGATTGGCGTTAACAATAAAGCCCCTTCCTGTCCTCCCCACAGCCAATCCAAACCACTTTATCCTGATTTACACCAGCCAACAGCACAGACTTAAGCAACATCAAACTTAAGTCATCAGTCAAAGAGGAATTTTCATCTAGATGATAGTAATGCTGTTATATATTTTTACCACAGATATCCAAGACCAGTTTCCTTAAGTCTATGCCACAGCACAAACGTGTTTGTAAGGGACAATTACTCCCTATTTTTATGCCACAGAGTCAAGTGCTGCCCAAAAGCTCCATAGGTTGGCATGTGCAATAAGAGCTGGAAATTGTTCTTCCTGAAATACCACAATTGTTTATCATTAGTGCTATTGATGCATTTCAACTTAATAAAATGTTGTAAAATCCATTACACCATTGTTAACTGTGGCTAAGAAAAGCAATCCTAATGGCATGGATGAATCCAGCCAGACCACAAGGGATTACATAGTTTGATTTGTTCAGCCTAAGTCTCATAACAAAAAGGCAGAAGAAAATTAAGGTTTCAAAATTATACAGTTTCCTAATGATAAGATATAACTGTAATACTATTTTTGTAGTACTATGTATTTAAAAAAAAAATTGAAGAAAGTAAAAACAAAATAGAAATTCCCTTTTTCCAACAGAAGTGATGCAAGTGGAAGATAAAAACCCTTTCAACCATCTGCTCAACTCTTATCTCTTTTTCTCCATATAGAAATATCAGTAGTCCCAGTTTCATGGAGCTCCTCTGGAGCCATACGACCCCTTGTCGATCCAATTGACCTACCAGTGTTTTATTCCTCATCTCACAGTCTCAAATGCAAGTTTCTCTAAGGTCCCAGCTTTCACCTCCTTGCTCTACAGCCTCAAGGTTTCCAATGGAAGCTGGAGGCTCTGAGCAGGACACTCACCACGTTGTTCAGGTGGGGATCCATCTCCAGCTTTGAGGGTTGAAAAATGGCATTAAAAGCAGTTTTGAGATTGATAAATGAAGTCTCATTATTGGTAAAGTTCAGATCTTTCCATTTGCTTCCACTTAGAATTGTCAAGACTGACAGACATCAGTGGAAGCCACTATAATTAGATTTGGAGGGGGGGAGGAAGGAGAAGACAGAAGAGGCTGATGTGTTGAGGTTCTGAAAAATTATCAAACAAGATGTGCCTTGTGTTAATGCCAAATGATACATCACAGCAAATTCAGTATCATAGAACCATAACTGCTTATCACACTCAGCTGTGAGAATGGTGTACTGATTTAATTGAGGTCAAGAATTAATTGCATGTCTTTCAGATAACACTTCTAAATGGCAGCATCTGTCTGAAGAGAAGACATTAATTCAAACCTTTTAGGCTAAACATTTACAGAGAAGCAGAAAGTCCCAGTCAGAGCAAGAATGTGAAAAAGTAAGTAAAATGTTATCTTGTTATAAAATGTGTCTTGATTGGCAAACTGTAAGTATGGATCAAAGCAGTAATATGCTGGAGAAAGAGCTAGATACAGCAGAGCGTAGGCATCAGTATTTAACTTAATATTTAATGTTCTCTTCTCTGTACTTGTATATTCCAAGGAACTTGCCTCCCAAACCCAGCCTTGCATCCTCTCTTCCATTGTTAATACTTAGTGATGACTGACTGAGTTAGATTCTTACCAAGGCAAAGCTACCAAAGATGAACACAAAAATAAACAACAGTTGGAGAACACATTATGGTGCATTTGTGACAGCTTCTCAGTAAGAGAACTGGTGAAGAAACAGGACATACCATGGGGTGGTACTTGAATTCCAGACTACCTTGGTGCCTGAGATTACCAGCTGACAACCTAGCAGGGAGCAGCCCTGGCCAAGGCAATGTCTCAGACATGAGCATCTCCAGGAGTATCTACCATGCCCAGTGATAAGCTCTTTCTTTTCCTGAAGGCAGGGAGGAATGGAAGCAGAGGCTTGATACCTTCTAGTTCCACACTAGCTGTCTCAAGTTGGGGTGGAGGCCAGTAATTTGGAGTATGTAAATTATATTGCACATTCCACTCCCTACAACACACACTCTTATTGTGGTAACTTCTGTCTCCAAGTGGAGGTAGTATAGGAGTTGCTACATTCCTTAAATATTGATCACCTCTCCCCTAAGGATGTGGTGCACATTAAAAACAAACAAACAACACCCCCAGCCAACCAACCCCAAACCTAAACCAACATCAGTCGTTAGATGAGTGCACAAAAACATTCCCTGGGCCCCGCTCTCCTAGACGGCAGCAGCAGCATCTAAGACTGTGAGCAAACATAAATTACATGAGCAAACATAAATTACACATGTCCAAATGTACAGCAGAACGGCTCGCATTCCAGGTGAGGAATCTCTGCCATTCATTATGCTGCCAGACACCTTCACACTTGCTCCTGGCCACTAAGTTTTCGCTGTGAAAGGTGAGCAGGGAAGGGAGCAGCCCTGAGACAGGGTCAGGCAGAGGCTGCCCCTGACTGTGAAGCAGCCAGGGTGATCTCCACTGCTGCCCCAGCACACATATGCACAGCAATGCCCAGCTCATTCTGGTCCTCCTACTCTCTGACAGAAACTCACAAGCATCACAACTTTGGCAAAGATAACTTCAGGGAGTTACAGAAAGAATCACTAGGTACATTTGGAAGGACTGAGTGCAAGCACTGCTCTGCAGGAGAACCTGTTAGAAACTGTGGATTATGTCTTGAGGAGAGGGATGAAAAATGAAGATACAACTGAATGGAATCCATTTGTGAATTTGCAGAATCAAGGCAACAGATTGCAGGGAAAAAAAAGTTGATCAAGATTGCTCAAATACACTATGTAATACACTCTGAAGAAGTCTTAACCATTGCAGAAAGTCGGGAAGATTTGCAAATCACTACTGTAACCAACACACCCAGGAGCAGTCACTCTTCACCAGTATTTGCCAGAGGCCTTACAAAACACCACTACTTGACTGGATGATCAAAACAAAAAGATAAAAACATTGACTTGCAATTTTAATTTTGCAATGCTGCAGCTCAGAGATCAGCAGCTGCCAAAATCCTACAGTCTCTGGTCACCATCTTTAAAACCAGATGAAAAATGAGATATCCCTACAAAATAAATGGATTAACATTCTGTTCCAGTAGAAAAGCAATGAGTATCACAGAAAAACTCTCTGTACCCTTGTTCACAGAAGCACCCTGTGAGCTGTGTTGCTGAGATGCTACCCAGCCTGTAACAGCTGATTAAGTTCACATCGAATTTCAGCTAAACTGTTATAAAAACCCTGAAGGGTTTCCACAAAAGGTCATCACAATGTATGCAAATGCACAATGAAAGGATATAAATAAACATACAAGATAAACAATATGAATTCCTGATTAAAAATAGTTCAGCTGAACCTAGGTATTATATAAACACCAAAGATGACTTTTTATAATCTGATCATGCTAGTAAGTGACTTCATTATGCAGGGAAACATGAGCTGGAATACTCAGATTTTTCAGTGCATTCTACAGTTTCACATATAGAGCCATTTGCATGCATTCAGGTCCAGGCAAAGTCCACTGCTAAGTACATCTGTTGTCTGCAAACAGAGCTCAACAGGGCTGCCTATATAAACACAAAAAAATTGAATTTTGAATCTGTGATACAATGCACGTAAAAATCTATCTACTGCTACCAGCCAGATTAAAAGGAATGCTCATGGACAAGGTTGTCGTTTTAGCAATTCGGAAGCACTAATTCTGTTAAATTAGACCTAATCATCAAGAACATTTAAATTGGTCTTTAATCAGTAGAGCTTCATTACTTAACATGTGCTATTTAAGTGCATTTATTAAATGCACTTTTAGTATTTCCCCCTCTCCAAAACTCAAATACCTCGAGATCTTGTTCAGATTCTCTTTTAGAATTCGTCTTTAATCTTTGCTGTTACAGAAGTGTAAGTTTGTCCAGTTTCTCTTATCTTCCACCTTCCTTCAGAGTAACAGTCGCTTACACATGCACAAATACTTTAAAGGCTTATATTCCTGAAGATACAAAGCTTTCATGCATCTCCAAAATACTTTAGTAAGTGGAATGTCCGTGCAACTGCAGCTCCTTCTATTCCTAGGTAACCAAAATGATCAAAGAAACTAATTAAATAATTAATCACAAGTAGCATTCTTTGTAATGACTGGATTCTTTTGCCATTGCCTGGATAACACAGATAAATATTTTACTGTATCAGGTTGTGTGTCCTGCCAGGCTTGTAATTGAAGTGGCCTGGAATTTTAATATTTTAGAGAGGCACAAATGAGTCATGGTCTCAACTGCCTGTGCTGAGCATGAATTATGCACCTCATTTTAACAGCAGTCCAACACAAAACTATGGCAGAGATCCTGTGTCCTGTGTCAACCCTACTACAGCGTTACAGGGATTTGTCCTCCATTAAAGGAAACTTTTGTCTACATTCTGTTTAGAAAATCACTTCCTGTGAATGGCTTGTGAATCCATGTAGACTGTTGAGTAATCAAATCACTGGTGTACAAATTATATCTCAGGCAGCACAGCTGTAGATTGCTGCTCTCTTGCTGGACAAAGTCCTTTCCACCTCTGCCTGTAAGCTGTTCATTATCAACACCACAGCTAGAGCTAAGAATGGGTACAAATGAATCACTGCCCAAACAGCTGAACTGCTGTGACTAACCCAGGCTCCACAGCTTCTCTGCAACGCTGGTCAAAGTCTTCCTGAAGGAAAGATAAAGGACAAAATGAGCTTTGTTTTTATTCACCTGTGATCTCAGTGTTTCTATACTCTAGTGTAATAAGTAAAGAAGTTATTACTTGTAATCATTTCTGTGAGCACAACCAGAGGATGCTGGGGTTTTTTATCTCTTCCAAAGGGCGGAGATGAGGAAATAAAACAGTTGATAATTACAGTGATAAATTTTTAAATTGCTAATTTGCCATCAACTTTTGTCAACTTCAAGTCACACAAATGCTGCCCAAGTCCCCCCACAGGATGGAGCGGCAGCCACTTGACTTGTAAAACTACTGTTAAATTCCCGTGCTGATAATCCTTTACTCCTTGAATGGCAAAATGCCAGGCACAGCAAGACTGGGCATTTGAAGGTCAAACCAAAACTAATTGAATCGCCTAACAATACTGTTGGAAGGACAGATTTTTAATTTTTTTTTTCTGGAAGGACAGATTTTACTGAGCATTTGGCCCTTTTTAAATTTATTTTTGTAAGCCACACTTCCTGGAGTCATATACTAAAAATAAAAATGAGGAATGAGATTAGGCTAAACATGATTTATGGCTATCATGATTGTAGAGAAGCAGCTGAAAGTAAAAGCTCAAGAGATTAAAAGTGGCATTTTTCAAATTTATTCAGATTGCATAGCAGAGTATTTGAGGTGGTCAATGCCAACTTCTCCCTGGCTGCCTTGAAGCTGCTGGAAGCGGTCAAAGATTTACAGCAGGAAGAGAATGTCAAGCTCCCAGCAGTTTTTCATAGCAGAGAATATTTTCATCTCTGCCAGGAGGAGATAAGTGGTCACACACAGGTGAGAACTCACGAATCAGAAAACCACATCACAGGTAAACAGGGGCTGACTTGGCAGTGGATGTCCGAAACCAGCACAGCCTCTAAGTGCTGTTATTAGCCATGACTGGAAGGGCAGTGCCCAGAAAGCACAAAGAGCAGCAGAAAGGCACCTCTCAGGTGATTAGACAGGCATCACAGAGGGCTCTCCCATCTGTCTTCTCACAGCAAGAGCTCACTGTGTTTGTACTACAGAGCAGGCTTCACTGAAAACAAATTTTAAGTTCCATATCCCCTAGGTAAGCTGTTTTCTGGTGAGGTAGTGTTGACACATAAATATATTGAGTGAATCATCAACATTCCCATCTGCCATTTAGTACACTCACATCACTGAAGGGCAGACCTGAACATGAGTACCTGATCTGCAACACTGGTTTTTGTTGAAAAAAGGTTCAATTGAAAAAACAAAAAGATTCATCAGCATCACATTTAAAAATATTTTTTCTCAAAAGCATTAATTGCCTTTTAAGTTCTACACTGGTTTTGTTATCTTGCCAAATTGAACTACTGGAAGCATTGCAACACAGTTAAGAGTCATGGGGGTTGTGTCCTCCCTTTTCCTTTTTTAAAAAAAAAAATATCCCTCCACAAAACAGAACAATATTTTGTGTGACCATAGTGAATTCCTAAAACTCTGAACAGCAAAACAAAGCATTAGGGGTTTGAGGGTTGTTGTTATTGTTATCTGGTTTTGTTTTAAATAGGAAAATCAACACAATTGGGTGCTTTTTTTTAGGGTCAGGCTGAAATACCAGAAATACAACTAAGTGTACAGCCTTCAAGCTGTTCTTCTGGTTAATCCTTATTGCCCCATTCCCCCCAAATTGAAAATCAGTGTATATTTTTGTTCTTGACCTAATTTACACATGCTAACAGAAATACAAATCTCTCCAGTGGATCTATGATGTGACTCGTACTACCCACAGGCAGTCAGGATTAATACTCT